TGCAAGAACTCTAATTGCGAACATGGCTGCAAATTCTCAACAGTTTGGCAATTGAATAGTCCAACCGTCTAAGCATGTGAATGAGGTAAATATTTCTGCTCTTGAACAACAAATTTCTGGTTTAACTACTCTTGTCTGTCAATTAGCAGTAGGCAATATGCAAACTGTAAAAGCATGTGGAATTTGCTCGGTAGTTGGGCATCAAACTGATGCCTGCCCAACTCTTCAAGAAGAACCTATTGAACAAGTTAACATGGCTAGAGGTTTTCCTGGACAACCTCAAGGTAAGTATGATCCGTTCTCCAATACATATAATCCTGGATGGAGGGATCACCCAAACCTTAGCTATGGGAACTCACAAGGGAACCAGTTTGTTCAGAATCGTTCTAATTTTCAACAGTATAGACAACCATTTCCTTCAAGTCAACAACCAGCCCAAAACTCTAGCTCAGGTATGAATCTCGAAGATATTGTTAAATCTCTTGCTACTAACACTTTGCAGTTTCAACAAGAAACACAACTATTCCAACAAGAGACAAGAGCTAGTATTCAAGAAACAAAGGCTAGTATTCAAAACTTGGAAAGACAAATGGGCCAACTAGCAACTACGGTTAGTCGGTTGGAAGCACAGAGTTCTGGCAAACTACCCTCTCAAACAGTTGTTAATCCTAAAGAGAATGTAAGTGCAATTAATGTTGAAAGTATGTCGCTGGAAAAGAATGTTGATTTGAATAAGGAAATAAGTGCAGGAATCATTGCCAACAATAAAGAGAAGTCTCAAGGTAAGCTTTCTTCTTTTTCTGATTATGAACCAGTACCCCCATTTCCTCAAGCTCTTTTAGAACCAATAAGAGGAAACTCAAATAATGATCTGTACGAGACCTTTCGTGAATGTGATGCTAATAAACCACTTTTAGATTCTATGAAAAAGGTACCTCGCTATACAAATTTTCTAAAAGAGGTATGCACATTGAAAAATAAACAAAATAAAGGAATTGATGAAGTGAAAGTGCACGAGAATGTCTCTATGGCTAGTCAAGGCAATCTTCCTGAAAAGTGCAAAGATCCAGGTATGTTTACTATTCCGTGCATGATAAGTGGTGTGAAACTTGAAAATGCTATGTTAGATTTAGGAGCTTCTATTAACGTCATGCCATATTCTGTTTATGCTTCTTTAAATCTTGGACCTCTGAATAAATCTAGTATAATAATTCAATTGGCTGATGGATCTACTACATATCCTAGGGGTGTGATTGAGGATTTGATTGTTGAAGTTGATAACTTGGTTTTTCCTGCTGATTTTTATGTGCTTGATATGGAAAATAATAATCATATTTTGTTAGGAAGGCCATTCTTAAAAACTGCAAAAACAAAAATTGATATTCATAGTGGTATGCTTACTATGGAGTCTAATGGTAAACTTGTGACTTTTAATATTTATGATACCATGAAATCTCCTAGTGATGATAATTTTGCAATTTTTGTTGATTCTGTGAACTTTGTTACATTTGATGAAATTGCTTCGAATGAAAAAGAAAGAAATAATAAATCATCTTTGAGTACTAATCTGCATGAAGGGACTGTTTCTTTGAATATTCATAATCATCGAAGGTACTCAAAAAGATGATGGAAATTTAAAGAAATATCATAAGTCGAGCCAACGACGATAAACAAAGGCACTGCTTAGGAGGCAACCTAAGGTGTATTTGTTCCATTTTTTTTCTTTTATTCCCGTTTCTCATTCAATAACCTTTTTTCTGTGCTTTTTTTTTTTTTTTTTTTTTTTGTTCAACATTGGGGACAATGTTGATAATAAGTGTGGGGGAGGGAATTTAGTTTTATTATTTGTTTGCATATGTCAAAATTTTCACAAATATTTTACTAGTATTTTATGCAAAATAAGTATTATTTTGAAAAAAAAAAATTATATTTTCCTTTCCTGAAATTCATAATGTAATTGAATAAATAGTTTGGCAAATTCTGATTAGCTTGTTAGCATTTCTTGTTTGATATGTAGTGGCTATATTAAGTAAGCAATAAACCTGTGAGATTTTGAGCCATTGACTGACACTTCGGTCTTATTTTCTTTCTATTGTGCGATTTCTTCCATAATTTTGTTTCTCTAGAACTTGCCTTGATTCTCTTTTAAAGCTAATTAGACCATGCATGATTCAAGTGTGATTAAGGCCATTATTTGATCTTGAGCCTCACTAGCCAAATAACCGGTTTGTCCTATGATTTATTTCCCCTTGTTAACCATTTTGAGCTTTATGGCCATTCTTTTCTTTATTTTGAACCACATTACAAGCCTTTTATATCTAAAAATTATGCCTTCACCCAGCTGAATAACTAGTGGAGCAAATTTTGAATTATTCGTGTAATCTACGTGAGGTTGTGAGGAAGAAGTGTGGGGGAGGTCACTTTCTTGTGTTAATATGATGGAGAATGAGGTGGGTTGTATCTTCATTGCCGATTTGTCACTGGTCTTCTATGAAAAAGAAAACGAAGACAATTCATGATTCCAAAAAAATATGGAAATTGAAAAATTGAAAAAATGAAAAAATGGAAAAATGGAGAATATATGTTTGAAAAAAAAGATATTGCTGAAAATTTATGAGAAAATGAGAAAGAATCAGCAATTGATTTTGAGTTGAAGTTACTTCTAAATAAATGAAGTAAGGGGAAATTCTGGTAATACTGAGGAAGCATTCTGTACCTCAATGGGATGTGTTTTTTATTGGAAATTGAGGGTGTTGGATTACTTGTATTTATTTGCTCCTCTAGTTTGAAGCTTTTGTTTAAGCTAATTTCCTAAAATTCCCTACCTTGACCCTAGCCCCATTACAACCTGTGAAAAGTCCTTATGATTTCTGTCATGCATGACTCTTGTAGTGGTGATTGAGAAGATATGCAAGCCTATGGTAGAGCAATTTTATAGGAATGAACTTGAGCGAAATCTATACCCATCAAACACTTGAGTGATGAGTCATATTCCTGTGAGGGCTTAATTATTTAGTATTCTTCATTTTCAAATAGGAATGCTAACTTATTAATTGCAGGGTGCTTCAGATTGTTGTTCATGATATGTTATGAGTTTTGGGAATTTCGTTTTAATTTACTTTGCAAATAATGTTTTTGCTTTGGGACAAGCAAATGTTTTAGTGTGAGGGAATTTGATAGGCATATTTTACACCCATATTTTAGGTACATCTTTATAATAATTTTGCATTAGTTATTTAATATTGTCTTATAATTAGTTCTTTTTATATATAATATTAAATATATATATATATATATATATATATATATATATATATATATATATAGGGTTGCATTCACATGAAAACACCCTTAAAATACAAACGTGTGGACAAATAAGGTCCATAAGATTTGAGTAGATTAACGGATTAGATCTAAGGAAAATAAATAATTACAGAATCTTAATTAGTGGTAAAAAGGGTAATTAAGGCAAATCAAAAATAAATTAATTACGGAATTTATTTTATATGGATATTACACCATAATGGAAGAATTGTAAGTATGGTAGGATTGAACAACGAAATAGTTGGCGCACACCCTCCCACCCACGGAAATCCAACCCAGATGACAAACTTCCTACACACATGGTATTCCGACGTAGCGACGCGGCCAAAAATTCATGGATGCGAATTGCGAGAACCTGGCAACGTCAATCCCATGTAAATTACTCGATTTCAGTATAGTTGTTAAATGATGATGTGTGTGCTCAGTGTTTTAAAGGCTGCATCATGCATAGTATTAGAAAGTAATTCTGTGAATTCAATATTGATGTTTTTGTGAACAAAGAGTGAACAAATTTGCATAGTTCGGAACCCTAAGCAACAGATTAAGGGTGGTTGGGTACAGATAAGCATGCCAATATAACCGTAATTGGGTGCACACATTTGTTAAATAGGATGCACATATGTGCGCTCCAGGTATGTTGTTTGTGCATACGGCCAACTGAGACCACTGTACCAATGATGCAAATGTGCCATGCACAACCCATGCAAACGCCACTAGCCGGACAAAGGGTGGGAGCCTTAATGAGTAAAAAACATAATGTGCCCACCGGGATGACGTATGAACCTACGTTAGCGAAATATGAAACTTGGGTGTGATTAATGAGAATTGTGTGTGCATGCGTGTGATTTGTACATCCATGAAGCACGTGACGCCATATTTAATAATGTTTATATGGCCAGCAGGCGAAGAACAATGTGTATGTGGTGTTGCAGAATGTGTAAGCAAAGAGCAAGAGAATGCCGCCAATAAGAAGCTGGAAAAAAAAAAGGCGAGGACGTGCAAAACATGCGACTTGCCAGACCATGACAGCCGCAATTGTGAAATTAAAAAAACGTCACGTAAGACTAGAACCTAAGATTATTTTAATAGCAGTGTGAAATTAAATTCATTATGTTTTATCAAACCTATTTTAAAGACCACATAGGCTATTTAAAGGTGCAGTATTTTTTTGAGTATTACACAGTATGAATAGCGTGCACATACTATCCCAGTACAGGTGCACACCTAATCCAGTTCATTTGCATACGGGTGTATTGATTAGGGGGCAAGCGTGCACACATAATTCCAGCACACGAATGTTTTGATTAGGGGGCAAGCATGCACACATAATTACAGTACAACTGCACACTGGTGTTTTGATTAGGGGGGCAACGTGCACACATAATTCCAGCAAATGCGCACACCTAGTTTGAAAAAGGGGAAGCATTGTGCACGCTTAAACTGTCCAATATGCATTTATGAAGGCCTAAAAGCGAGTTAGGATGCACACACGCCCTTCAAGTAGATTTGCTACATCAAACCACATAAATCGTCAGCACATAAAGACATTCGCCCGTGCACACAGAACCAGAGTTGGAAATCAACAAAAATACGAACTGGTACAAACGTTAACGAAAGTCCAAAAGAGTGAAATGTATTAAAAACAATATATGACTAAGCCATAAAAACCCCAACACTCAAAGCAATCTGTCATACCACAGACATAATGTCAAAATAAATATAACCTAACAGAAGTATTCGACAACTTCAGTACAAAAAACATCCAAACCAAAAAATAGCAAATAACAAGTCTAGACAACTGTGCGTGTAAGACCACCCAAAATACAGAAGTGGAAACCCCATGTTTACATAGTAGGAGGAAGAGCAGAGATAGACTAGTGGGCCCGAGATAGATTCCGCGATTGTACACATTGAACCCCAACACTGTTAGTTCCTTCATGTACTGCAACCTTAGTTTGTGCAGCATACTAGTGTCCCCGTTAACAAGTCCACAATCCCACTGGGAGACCTGCTAGCCTACATAAGAATCCATGTGACGCATAAGAAAAACTCCACAATATGTCTTATTCTTTGAATCCCGCCGGGACATTTGCAAACGCTTAGTATCTAAACAAGCACAAAGAGCCGACCTCCCATGATGAATAATATTAAAGAACTTATATAGCATATCCTTCTACACAAAGAAAATAAGGAGCACATCAAACCGTAAAACAAAGTGTCAACAAATAGGGGGAGGGCGAAAGAAAAACAAAACAACAAAGGGGAGAAAAGGGCGCAAGACTAACCATATCCTCTAGTGAATCTCCATATTTTAATGTCTTTGATGTGGGATCAGAGTCGTTATCAGTAATCTCATACCGATAATGGAGGATATCAAAACACAATAGGAAATAGTGACCACGACAAAGAATGGGGAAAAATATCTGCACAGGATAAAATCAAAGGAAATTTAGGCACTGGTGCACACTTATAGGACACCATGTGTTGAGAGTAAAGTGATGATGTGTGCACAGTTATGGGACACCGTGTGCATACTTTGTAACAAGCCAAGCACACGTACACAGCGGGGTGAGGACATTAATATCCAGAAAAAATGCAAAAAAAAAAAAAACACATGAAAAGTATTCAATCACAGAAGTAACAACAACAAAAAAACTTACCATGCCAACTATCTTAATATCCGAATACGGCGTGAACCAACAGTCCATTCAACCTCTCTCGGAACCAAGCGACCCTTTTCTCATGGGAGTGGGAAGGCCTTAGGTGGAGAAACAAAGTCGTCGCCACTTACACAACTTTGTGAGGTATCGGTATCATATAGCGCAACCTTGGACTTCTTAGCTGAAAAAAAACACAACAAATGGGAGGAACAAAGCACACACTGGGCATTTAGCCCTAATTGAAAATACAAAACACTCAAATGAGAGGAACAAAAGCACACACTCATTCTGCCATGCACACACAACATTACCAAAAAAAAAAAAAAAAAAACACAAACAAAATAGCTACAAACAGACATAAATTAAATATCAAATTTCATCACCCCCCAAGCAACCCACCCAGCCCCACTGCAGAATAATGAAAAAAAACAAACAAAAAAACACACAGCAGCACAGAAACACTCCAAGTCCAATAATACCATTTCTACTTCTTTGTTTTCTTTATCCTAAAACTGGAAACAAAAATGAAAAACAAAACCCTAACCATTAGTAGAAAAAACACAGTGAAATTTACAAATTGAAAGAAATTAGCATTATCTAGGCATTAGAAATATAAAAAAAATAATCAAACAGACATTATCTAGACATTAGAACTACAATCTCTTGGCAATTAATTCCTCTAATCCATGCAAACAAACCCAAAATTGAAAACCCTACCTTCAAATTCTGGCAACCACCCCCCCCCCCCCCCCACCACCCCACAAACGACTAACAGGCCTACAAATAATCAAACCCCCCAACAAAGAAGACAAAAAATGCACAAACCACAAGAACCCACCAAAAAAAAAAAAAAAACGATAATGCTCTGTTTCAGTACCTCGGTCGACAGCTCCAACCGGCGGTCCCCGCCTCTTCCATGTACCGCGGCTCCCACCGAATGCCATTGCTACGTGGAAGAGTAGACCGATTGTAAAGAAGAAGCGAAGACGTCGCGATTCCCAGACGCCTTCTACGCACACAGAGAGAGAGACGACCGCGAGAAGAAGGAAGAAATATGTCTTGTGCGTGATAGTGCTTGCCTGTGGAATAATTGGACTAGGTTACAATCATCATCAAAATACCACAAATACCCCCTAAACATAAAAACAAATTTAACTTAACATACAAACACAAGGCGCGGACAATAGAATCAAGACCATCCAAACATCAGATCCAATGGCCTATATTTGTCCACAGGTTTGTATTTTAAGATGTGTTTTTACCTGAATATAATCCTATATATATATATATATATATATTTATATATATATGCATTATATATATATATATCTATATATTATATATTATTTAAGTGGCCCAGCCTTTAGTAAATACTAACTAATGTTATGTTTTAATTCCACCTAAAGAATGTGAGACGCAGGTAGCAACGAAAGAAAGCTTCGTCGACTGATTACTGGCGCGAGAACAAGCAGCAACTTCGGATGATTTCGTGGCTCAGCGCAAAAGGAGGAAAATGGATGATAGAAAATAGCTTAGGTTGATTTTGGAAAGTATATAAATAGTGGAAGATTTCTATTTTAAAATGTTCATGCTTGGTTCATTCTTTCCTCCTCTATAGTATTCGTTGAAATTGTTATCAATGTCCATTTGTGGCTAATTTCTAGTTGGTTTAGTGAATTGAAGCCCCGGAGTTCATAACGCTGTAAGGTTATTTATTTAACTTTATTATATATATATATATATATATATATATATATATATATATATATATATATATATATATATATATATATATGTTTTTATGCATTTTGAGTATTAAATATTCTCCCAAATTATTTGAATAGTTGTATCATTTATTTGCTAGGGAGGCCTACTAGTTATTTATTTGATATAACACTACAAGAAAAATCACGAATCACGACGAAAACATTGCGACAGAGGGTAATCCGTTGTCGATTCGCAACGGTTTTTGCGACGGAACGTGTTGTGTCACGATTTTGCGTCGGAAATGGTAACGGAAATCAATTCTGTAGCAATTTTTGGTGCAAAGTGAGAAAAAGGGCAAGAAATTTTGGCGCCCACATTTTGGTGACGGATTTTGCGACGGAATTAAGTTCTGTCACCACAACGGCGACGGAAAAGGCAACGATTGATGGTGCCGTTGCGGTTGTGCTACAGAATCCGCGACGAAAATAATTCTGTTGCAATATTTGGCGCAAACTTGAAAATATTCCCACGTAATCTTTACACAAAGAGATTGACGACAGAGGCTTACGACGGAATTTGCGACGAGACTTTTTTCCGTCGCGAAAGTATATAAATTTTGAAGTAAAGTTTATTTTTGCTACAAAATGGGACGACAGAATCAATTCCGTCACCAATATGTTGACACATTGGCGACAGAAAATGCGACGCCCTATATGCCTGTCGCGCTATGACGATGGAATCGGCAACGAAAATTAATTCTGTTACGATGTTTGGTGCAACGGTACATTTGACGTTTGAGGTTGGCGACGGAACATACGACGACCGTTCATTCCATCACTGAAATAATAAATTTTTTAAGTAAAGTTTATTTTTGCTACAGAATGCGATGACAAAATCAATTCCGTCGCCAATATGTTGACACATTGGCGACAGAAAATGCGACGCCGTATATGTCTGTCGCGCTATGGCGCTGGAATCATTAATGGCCGAATGATTGCTCCCTCTTTTCTACAATGTCGCTGTCCATAACGAAGACCAATATATTCCTAGTGATATTTTGAGATATTTTATAAGATAAATTAAAATTATTTTTAATTTTTAAATTATTTTTAATTTTGTTGAAATAAATATTTCAATTGAAAGTTGTAGTTTTTTTAAAAAAGGAATTCGACCAAAATTTATGAAAATTTTGAAAGCATTGTATATAAGTGTAAAAATTTAAATTTATAAAGAAATTTAAAATTATATTGCATCTTTAAATATAAAATTATTATTCGTAAATATGAAGTTAGTACATTTTTAAGTACCTAATGTTGGTTTGGTACAACATTAATATAAAATGTGATATCATTGGTCTCTGCTCATGGGAATATTTGTTTTATACCCTAATGATAGCAACCAAGGACGGAGCCAGAAATTCAGTTGAGGGGAAACGAAGAAGAAGGGACGGATTCAATTTTTTTTTAAAAAACTGTTGAAGCCAACTATAAAACTATGTTAATGCCAAGATTTGAACCCTATCCTTTATTATTATCATAATAACTTAACACATGCTCAACCAACTCATCTAAATCAACCCTTGTTAACATTCAACAGTTTTATTTTACTAATACTAACACATGTACTATATATACATATATACATACAAAAATTATATATGGGGGACGGGTGGGGGTGGGGTGAGGGGGGGGGGGGCAGCTGCCCCTCCTTTGGCTTCGTCCCTAATAGCAAAATTAGAGTATTAAAATCATATGCGAAACTGAAGTCGGATTAACAAGAAATTACATTGAAATTCTCAAATTCGTAGTTAGCTTAACAATTAAAAATAAGTGTATCCTTACCCAAAAAAAATGTATATATATAATGAGACTTTGTTTCATGCTATCTTGTTTTCGACATCGTGTAAATAATTGGTTTAGCCTCAAAAGATCATAGATATTTACATAGACATGTTTGGTTTGTACAAATTAAATGATGAATTGAAGTTCATGTTTAGTAACAAAGTTAGCTTATCAGTCAATTTTGATGTATTTAATCACTATTATAGTTGTTTGATTTGGTTAAACAATTAATATGAATAATTGATTAATCAATTTTTTAAAATACTCATTTTGATTATATCGAAAATAATTATTTTTATTTATACTTAAAATTGTACAAAACATTTACCTATTCTTATTATTTTTTATTTCATAGATTGGTCTTCATTGTAATTGAAAATAAAATTTTAGAAGAATTGACATCAAAATTTTGGTGAATAATTTTGTATTTAAATATTAACGAAAAATGAAACTTTTAAATTAACTATTGAATTGCATTCTCTCTTTATTAAATTTTTATGTACTATATTTGGACAAAAAAATTTAATTACATTTTTATTTTTGTTATATAATACAATAACGTGGAGTCTAGATTAAACTATTAGACATGACCCCTATTTTTAATGGATCGACCCTGCACACACTAATAATAACTACACAATTAAACAATATGTTAATTTAGTTAATTAAACTATCGATAGTTAAAATTTTAAAAAATCTTTATCCATTGACCGAACTGAAATATTTTACTTCAAAAATTTATTAATTGAATTTTTTGTTCGATTATTTAACATATTTTCACCGAATTGTACACACTCCTAAAGATACTAATTAACATTTACGAGAATATTTAAATATAAGAAGATTTTTTATCATACACAAATGTAAAAAATAATTAAATAAATCATTTTTTTAATTATTTTAGAAGTATATGTATTATATTTATTAATCAAAACTACATAATATATATATATATATATATATATATATATATATATATATATATATATATATATATATATATATATATATATATATTGAAAAGGCTAAATCCTATTTTAATTTACTACAACACTAAAATCCTAAAATCCTAAATCATATTTTAATTTACCTAAAATCCTAAAATACCTAAATTCCTAAAATAACTAAATTCCTAAAATCTCTAATCCTCATCGGCTTCAGACTCAGCCGCATCTCTAACCCTCCTCGGCTTCAGACTCTGCAACTTTGCGGCGACGTGCTACGACGAGGCGGTGACGTGCTACGGTGAGGCGGCGACGTGCTACGGTGAGGCAGCAACAGGCTGCGGCAAGACGACGACGGGTTGCGGCGAGGCAACGACCGAGACCGAGGTTAGTTTCTTTCTGAAAGTATTTTTTGTGTATTATTATAAATTTATTATTTGTTGTGGGTATACAATGTGTATATATATATATATATATATATATATATATATATATATATATATATATATATATATATATTGTTTTTAATGCTTTGTATATATATATATTTGTAGTTTTTACTGCTTTGTATATATATTTGTGGTGTTTACTGCTTTGTGTATATATATGCGTGATATATATTTACTGGTTATGCTTTGTATATATATTTGTAGTTTTTACTGCTTTGTATATATATTTGTGGTGTTTACTGGTTTGTATATATATGTGTGATATATATTTAATTTACTGCTTTGTGTGTATATATATATATATATATATATATATATATATATATATATATATATATATATGAGTAAACAGAAATGAATAATGTGAATCTTAATCATTAATTGCTCCACCTTTTACATCACTAAGTAAGCTAGTTAGTTGTTGATTCATGCCTCCTTTGCTGAACACTACATGTCTTGAACTCAGCTTTAGAAATAATAGAGTAAATGAAAGAGACAAAATAAAATTTTCATGGGTCTTGTAGCTTAATGCATGTTATAATTCAGAAAAAAGATAAACCAGTGTAATCTCTGGGACAAAATATTCATAAAATAGTATAATTTCTTAATAATAGACTTACCCTTGATCTGTAACATATAAGTGTTGATTGTTTTTAACTTTACGATTTACCAGTTTATTTTATCTTTATTGATGATGAAGTCAAATAAAAATAACACTATGAATAAGCAAGCCACAATCTTGGCACTTGAAATCAAATGATTAAAATCTAGCTTGATGAGTAAAGAAGGACCAATTACTCCATGCAGATTTGGTATTCCATATTAACTTAGAGCCTCTGTGTAGGATGATAAGCTAAGAAAGTATTGTAACATGCCTGCATATAGCGCTAAACCAGAGATTTTCTTCATGTGTATTATTTCTCTATTCTTAGAGGGGCATTTGATTCAAATATTGGAAAAGGAATGATAATAGTAATATTTTTTAAACACTAATGATTGTTAAATATATGAATGTATATGTGTAGGTCTTTACATATAAGTATTATGGATAGAAGTTGGATGTATCAAAGGCGAACTCAAC